TGACAACCACACATTCTACTTTCTTACGACTGATACTAGTCCTTTCTTCTCGCTTTCATTTACTACCTTGTCTCGGATAAAGTAGTAAAGTGTAAACTTTTTCATCTTGATTTGCTCCTCTTTCTGACAACCACACATTCTACTTTCTTGACTGATAGTTAGTCCTTTCTTCTCGCTTTCATTTACTACCTTGTCTCGGATAAAGTAGTAAAGTGTAAACTTGCATCTTGATTTGCTCCTCTTTCTGACAACCACACATTCTACTTTCTTACGACTGATAGTTAGTCCTTTCTTCTCGCTTTCATTTACTACCTTGTCTCCGGATAAAGTAGTAAAGTGTAAACTTGCATCTTGATTTGCTCCCTCTTTCTGACAACCACACATTCTACTTTCTTACGACTGATAGTTAGTCCTTTCTTCTCGCTTTCATTTACTACCTTGTCTCGGATAAAGTAGTAAAGTGTAAACTGCATCTTGATTTGCTCCTCTTTCTGACAACCACATTTCTACTTTCTTACGACTGATAGTTAGTCCTTTCTTCTCGCTTTCATTTACTACCTTGTCTCGATAAAGTAGTAAAGTGTAAACTGCATCTTGATTTGCTCCTCTTTCTGACAACCACACATTCTACTTTCTTACGATTGATAGTTAGTCCTTTCTTCTCGCTTTCATTTACTACCTTGTCTCGGATAAAGTAGTAAAGTGTAAACTTGCATCTTGATTTGCTCCTCTTTCTTCTACTTTCTTACGACTGATAGTTAGTCCTTTCTTCTCGCTTTCATTTACTACCTTGTCTCCGGATAAAGTAGTAAAGTGTAAACTTGCATCTTGATTTGCTCCTCTTTCACTGACAACCACATTCTACTTTCTTACGACTGATAGTTAGTCCTTTTCTTCTCGCTTTCATTTACTACCTTGTCTCGGATAAAGTAGTAAAGTGTAAACTTGCATCTTGATTTGCTCCTCTTTCTGACAACCACACATTCTACTTTCTTACGACTGATAGTTAGTCCTTTCTTCTCGCTTTCATTTACTACCTTGTCTCGGATAAAGTAGTAAAGTGTAAACTTACATCTTGATTTGCTCCTCTTTCTGACAACCACCTTCTACTTTCTTACGACTGATAGTTAGTCCTTTCTTCTCGCTTTCATTTACTACCTTGTCTCGGATAAAGTAGTAAAGTGTAAACTTGCATCTTGATTTGCTCCTCTTTCTGACAACCACATTCTACTTTTCTTACGATTGATAGTTAGTCCTTTCTTCTCGCTTTCATTTACTACCTTGTCTCAGATAAAGTAGTAAAAGTGTAAACTCATCTTGATTTGCTCCTCTTTCTGACAACCACACATTCTACTTTCTTACGACTGATAGTTAAGTCCTTTCTTCTCGCTTTCATTTACTACCTTGTCTCGGATAAAAGTAGTAAAGTGTAAACTCGCATCTTGATTTGCTCCTCTTTCTGACAACCACATTCTACTTTCTTACGACTGATAGTTAGTCCTTTCTTCTCGCTTTCATTTACTACCTTGTCTCGGATAAAGTAGTAAAGTGTAAACCATCTTGATTTGCTCCTCTTTCTGACAACCACACATTCTACTTTCTTACGATTGATAGTTAGTCCTTTCTTCTCCTTTTTTGTTTACTACCTTGTCTCGGATAAAAAGTAAAGTGTAAACTTGCATCTTGATTTGCTCCTCTTTCTGACAACCACACATTCTACTTTCTTACGACTGATAGTTAGTCCTTTCTTCTCGCTTTCATTTACTACCTTGTCTCGGATAAAGTAGTAAAGTGTAAACTTGCATCTTGATTTGCTCCTCTTTCTGACAATCACACATTCTACTTTTCTTACGACTGATAGTTAGTCCTTTCTTCTCGCTTTCATTTACTACCTTGTCTCGGATAAAGTAGTAAAAGTAGTCCCTTGATTTGCTCCTCTTTCTGACAACCACACATTCTACTTTCTTTGACTGATAGTTAGTCCTTTCTTCTCGCTTTCATTTACTACCTTGTCTCGGATAAAGTAGTAAAGTGTAAACTTGCATCTTGATTTGCTCCTCTTTCTGACAACCACACATTCTACTTTCTTACGACTGATAGTTAGTCCTTTCTTCTCGCTTTCATTTACTACCTTGTCTCGGATAAAGTAGTAAAGTGTAAACTTGCATCTTGATTTGCTCCTCTTTCTGACAACCACACATTCTACTTTCTTACGACTGATAGTTAGTCCTTTCTTCTCGCTTTCATTTACTACCTTGTCTCGGATAAAGTAGTAAAGTGTAAACTTGCATCTTGATTTGCTCCTCTTTCTGACAACCACATTCTACTTTCTTACGACTGATAGTTAGTCCTTTCTTCTCGCTTTCATTTACTACCTTGTCTCGGATAAAGTAGTAAAAGTGTAAACTTTAATCTTGATTTGCTCCTCTTTCTGACAACCACATTCTACTTTCTTACGACTGATAGTTAGTCCTTTCTTCTCGCTTTCATTTACTACCTTGTCTCGGATAAAGTAGTAAAAAGTGTAAACTTGCATCTTGATTTGCTCCTCTTTCTGACAACCACACATTCTACTTTCTTACGACTGATAGTTAGTCCTTTCTTCTCGCTTTCATTTACTACCTTGTCTCGGATAAAGTAGTAAAGTGTAAACTTGCATCTTGATTTGCTCCTCTTTCTGACAACCACATTCTACTTTCTTACGATTGATAGTTAGTCCTTTCTTCTCTTTCATTTACTACCTTGTCTCGGATAAAAAGTTAAAAGGTAAACTTGTATCTTGATTTGCTCCTCTTTCTGACAACCACATTTCTACTTTCTTACGATTGATAGTTAGTCCTTTCTTCTCGCTTTCATTTACTACCTTGTCTCGGATAAAGTAGTAAAGTGTAAACTTGCATCTTGATTTGCTCCTCTTTCTGACAACCACACATTCTACTTTCTTACGACTGATAGTTAGTCCTTTCTTTCGCTTTCATTTACTACCTTGTCTCGATAAAGTAGTAAAGTGTAAACTTTTACATCTTGATTTGCTCCTCTTTCTGACAACCACACATTCTACTTTCTTACGACTGATAGTTAGTCCTTTCTTCTCGCTTTCATTTACTACCTTGTCTCGGATAAAAGTAGTAAATGTAAACTTGCATCTTGATTTGCTCCTCTTTCTGACAACCACACATTCTACTTTCTTACGACTGATAGTTAGTCCTTTCTTCTCGCTTTCATTTACTACCTTGTCTCGGATAAAGTAGTAAAGTGTAAACTTGCATCTTGATTTGCTCCTCTTTTCTGACAACCACATTCTACTTTCTTACGACTGATAGTTAGTCCTTTCTTCTCGCTTTCATTTACTACCTTGTCTCGGATAAAGTAGTAAAGTGTAAACTTGCATCTTGATTTGTTCCTCTTTCTGACAACCACACATTCTACTTTCTTACGACTGATAGTTAGTCCTTTCTTCTCGCTTTCATTTACTACCTTGTCTCGGATAAAGTAGTAAAGTGTAAACTTGCATCTTGATTTGCTCCTCTTTCTGACAACCACACATTCTACTTTCTTACGACTGATAGTTAGTCCTTTCTTCTCGCTTTCATTTACTACCTTGTCTCGGATAAGATAGTAAAGTATAAGAAATGAACAGGTAAATAATAAATAAATGTCGTGTTAAGGTGACATTTTATCTCTGGATACCGGTTTTATCATATACTCCACTGTTTCGATATTTCAATTTTAATTTTTTTTTTTTTTTATTATTTTTATTATCAGAAAATATCATTTTCATATTCTTGTATGTAATTATAAAGAGGTACGATAGAGCAATGGATAGCGGCTTAGATTGAGGAATCGGAGAGCCGAGTTACATTCACTAACGTCAGATTGGGTTCTATAGCCTTGAATGGTAACTGTTCTGAATTCAAAAACTTGCGGAGAGTCGTTTGAGGACCTTGTGACACGTTGTGCACCAGATCTATGTATTCGGCTCTTCAAAAAGTGATTGGTTCTGCCTTCACCACTGTGCAGTTGTCTGGCTGTCGGTGCCTAGGAACTGAGTTGCTTGACCCTCATACATCGCAAAAACGACTGAAGAGTCCAGTATATAATTAGGGAAATTAAGAATAAAAATAGCCATTTTAATCCTTTCATTAAAGTATCCCTGCAGTGTTTAGTTGCCTTCTCCGGAACGAGACCTAACGACATCCACAGCGTTGTATAAAACTATATAAAAGGAAAGTACTCAACTCTCTCTCTTATTTTTTTAACCATAAGTTGCCGTAGTGTCAAGACGTGTCTTGTTTCCTTCTGGAGAACATAATACATAGATATAGCACGGTCACATGCATGATGGCTCTGTATAAATTTCATTGAAACCAGTTGAATGCGCTTATTTAAAGATGTCATCACATTTCAATTCATTGTATATCTGGACATATTTTGGACATTTTTTTAAATAAATTTAAATAAATTTAAATCAAAACGATTATGGTTCACTGGGAGTGAAAGAGAATGAAAAAGATTTTAGAAGGAGCCGGGAACTTAATCCTAAACATGGAACAAGGGATAAAAATCTATTCCTGTTCAAAAGACTGGGAAAGAGTGCGAACCGGGCAATCTATCTCCTCCTATTAAACGCAGCCATTATATCAGCATTTTTCTTAAGGTCAATGTCATTTTCCTTGATTTGTCACTAAATTTAAAAAAAAAAAAAACTTTCTGCCTCCCTCCCATCGTCTCTAAAGATACCTTATTGTACCGTTAAGCGTTTCCCGGGGTAAATTGCTTACTAGTATTATTACAGGCATCAACAGAGACATAATTAAGTAAACAAAAATTTATTTAAGTGAAAACACGGTAGCGAAATTCATTCGTGGCAGAAAGAAACAAAAGGGGCGACGGATGAACAAGTGAAGAAGCGACAGAAGTGTATTTCCTCGCCTGGCTTTTATCTCTTTGTACCTTTGAAGACGCATTTGCTGCCGTTATCTAAGCGAGCATTGAACAGAATGGAGTCTTATCTATTTCTCATTGTTTCTCGCATGCGATCGCTTACCCACCGAGAGTCGAATGAAGAGGTTCGTTCACTTGTCGAGGCAGTGTGATAAATTTCGTTCACATATGAGGCCAAGGTCCAATATCGTCTTCGTGTGTTCCAGTGTGATTGTAAAATTATTATTATGACTGAGTGTACCATCGTATATATAGTGAGTAAAATAAAACAATTACCCGACATATATATATATATATATACATATATATATATATATATATATATAAGGCAGGATGTGTGTGTGTGTGTGTGTGTGTGTGTGTAACGAATGCACGGACGCAATTTTCGACGGATTTGCACCAAAATTTACATGCGCATGCTCCAAGTTAGCGGGAAAGGCCAAGACCGACTTTGCATTTCCCAACTCCCATCGAAAGCGGAAATAATCGTTTTTTTCATGCTTCTACGGCGGTTTTCATGTAGTTTGCGGCCATTTTGTACTGGCCAGAGTGGTAGCCTATCGCTGGCTGCCACGAATAGGCAGGAAGATTCTATTGGCCAGCGTGAGAGCCAACAGCTGACTGACACGAATGTTAACTAGCATG